GAAGTAGGTAGTGAATAAGGAAACATGTTCAGAAGATTGATCTCCTCTTTTCTTGCTCTCTATCTCCCTCTTTCATTCTATCTCTTTGTATCTTTGACTGACACGAAAATGAAGATAAACATTACTGTCTACTGAATGAGAAGTATTTAAGTAGTATGGAAGATGAAAAATAACAAACTGAAGATGCAGGGAAGGTGCGTCAACATAGATAAGAAAATACAAGACACGTGAAACACTATTTTATGGGTACTTGATAAGTTGTTTAGATTCAATTCAAAACTTTTGTGTTTGGCATAAGAGAATTGAGTCTATGAGACTATTCAGAATCACTTGCTGAATGCTATGAGACATTTATGTTTCGTTTCGATTTCGTCTAAGTCACTTACATCTTGTATAACTACACTGTTTCCAACCATCGTTTCAAATTCATCAATCGAATTAAGCTAATACTCCAAAGACTCAGACGAAATCGAAACGAAACATATATGTCTCATAGTATTCAGCAAATCATTCTGAAAAGTCTTATTAACTTGGTTCTCTTATGTAAACACATAAGTTTGAATTGAATCTTAACAACATATCAAGTGCCCTTCCATTAATATATGCACATATCAAAAAAGAATAGTGTTCCACGTGTCTTGCATTTCTAATATATGTTTACGTCATCCTGCATGATTCAGTTTGTTATTTTTCATCTTCATACTACTTAAATACTTCTCATTCAGTAGACAGTAATGTTTATCTTCATTTTCCGTGTCAGTCAAAGATACAATAGAGATAGAATGAAAGAGGGAGATAGAGAGACAAGAAAAGAGAGATCAAATCTTCTGAACATGTTTCCTTATTCACTACCTACTTCGAGTCTATACATATCATATTTCACTCTTTCACATAGTTATACTAACATTTGGAATTTTAGGTTTTAAGTGATATCAGATATAAGACAATATAATTGTTTATAGACAATTTTTTTTTCACAATTTGTACCATTTACATATCATCAGAGGTAACCAAGGTAACTAACTGCATCCTCATGTTTACAGTGGACACAAATAATATATTCAAACAACAGACAATATAGTGTCAATTCTATTTCCCATAACAAAATATGTCAACAAACCTGAATTACATATTACAAATTATTAAACGGCGAATATTCTTTTTCTTCATCTCAGTTTCTTGATAGGAACTCAACATTCGTTTCTATACAATGCATGTGATACAAATTGTATTCAATGTGTCCAACTATTATGTCTAGTCAGGGTCATTCATATATACAGTTATTCTGGTTATTGTTATTTCATTTCTTGAATACATCACATTAATCGTTTCAATTGTGCGATACATACACATGCTTGAATGTAGGTAGACTTTTGAGGCAAAGTATCATAGTGTTGTTATGGTAACGAATACTTTGTACATTGGTTAATTTGTTTGTATATTTTTGATATATTTTTCACCTTGTATTACTTTGTGATGTTGTGTGTGTATGTATGTATTCGTGTGTTATTCCTTTAATATTTCTTTTAATGTAAGTATTATTATTATTATTAGCATTATGATTACCTTTACCATCATGTTTTTGTTTCAATGTATGATATGTTTTCAATAATCTCCGTCATTCTTATTTTAACGTGAAGAGTTTTTATTTTAGAAGAGAAAAAGATTTCGACTAAGATTTCTAAAATCGTTTTTCCCTCTCATTTTATTACTTTCATTTTACTTCTTCTATTATCAATTAAACAAATGTACAACCCTGTGATGATAATTGAATTGAACATTGAACATTTTTGTGATAACATTTTTGTGGTAAAAATATTTTATTTCTCTATAGTATATTTCAGTGTTGTCAGTTTTACTTAATGTTTCATAATTCAACTTGAAAATTCATTGTTTTCTGTCAGTTGGAAGGATATGTCTGTAGATTTTATGTATGTATACTGATATTCGTTTATTTAGGTGACTGAAATGTTTGAAAGATTACTTCATGATTTTCTTACACATTTGTAAACAAAAAAAACATTGAGATACATATCGCTCTCAGAAAATGTTACAACTGTTCAATGAATAACTTTATGTTGGACATTGAAAACAGATTACTTCACTGTGGTAACTTGTATAACTTACTAAAACAAACAAACTGTAACTATGGCTAGAATACCTGATCTTAGATTTTATAGATGACCATTTTGTATAATTATACAAAAAAAAAAATCTTCAAAAGTTATTTCTTTTAATATACTGTGATTCAAACATTCTTTATTAATATGATACACCTCTTAAATCCAATTTTTAAACAAATTAATATACATATTACTAACTACTAGAATTCAGTATTGCATCAAGGTATCATAAAAATAAATTGTATTGGAAAAATGAATAAAAGTTTGATTCAATGAATAAATCAATATTTCTAAGTGTTTCTCTTAAAAATGAAGCATTTTTTACAAATTCCTTATAGTTTCTAAAGTGTACATATTCTCTTATCATTTCAACCTCTCATACTAGTCATAAATAAATGGAGAATGTTACCTTTTATTGATATATGTTATTCTCCGTTGTTTTATTGGATCGAATTGTTGTGGCTAGCAAATTATCATAACTAATAGTCAAGCAATATCGGGGCATCCGCATAGGAGCCCATATGCCAGTAGAGGTCGAATAATCAAAGCAATAAAACAACGGAGAAGAACAAGTATGTCAGTAAGTAGTAGTAACTAATAATCATTGTACAAGAAGTGGCCTGTTGTGCCTCCATGGAATAGAAGACAACGCTTTGGCATTTGGAGCAATGGGTACGAGGTTCGATCCTCAGTGGGGACAGCATCACTCACTGGGGTGCAGTGTCATCCAGCTGGCGAGTCCAAGTAGGACGAAATGCGCATTCTGGATTCTTCTGCTAGCCATAACCAAGGGAATTCTCATAAGTGGAAGGATGGTTAGGAACGGTCACAGTGGGATGTATGAACTATGTTGATTTGTGGAAGTAATTTCTATGGTTTAATGAGAGATTAATATTTAAACAGCATATATTGACATAAAGCTTAGGGGATTACAATGTGATGGTTCAATCTGTTATGCCACACACCAAGAAGTAAGCAAGATGAAAAATTAGGGGAATACAATGACATAGTGAAAATCTGTTGGAAATTTGTAAGAAGAAAAGAAAAGTGGATAACACAATAACTAAATTGAATTTCATTTTTGAGGTTTAGATGAAGTAAAGCTAAATATGACTCCCGGTGGTTGATTTTAAGTCATATTACTCCCAGTTTTCAACGGATGATTTTGATTTTTCTAGTGAACTTCAACGCAAAGCCTAAACTTTTGCACTAGGCAGAGATTAACAGTTAAGACCCATGGATTGATGTCACGTCTTAGTTTGGCCGCGTTTATACCTTTTCAGCCTAAGCCTAATTTAGGTGGTATCATCCGTTGGGGTAGATAGCGATTAGGTCTGCGTAACGTAAGTCCAGGTACATGAGCCAATGAAGATTCACCAACTGACTTCTCTTTACCTGAAGACTCTACACCAAAACCATACGTTACAAACACGGTCACTTAACGAGACACGACCAGTGTACAAAGCAAAGTTGGGGAAACACATGAAGCCCTATCATGTCCATCAACTTCGATCATCATGTTTCACAACCATGTAGTAGCTAGAATTGGTGCTAAGCGTACTCAACTTTAACGTGAAATCGGATATTTCACGGATAGCACAGATTGCATAGTTTGGTGGAGATTTAGTCAGTAATGTATCTACAAAGGCTAATCCGCTTTCCAGAGGAAATAAAATGGTCAACGCCCCCCCAACCTTGTTCACTCCATATTGTTAGACGATGAAAAGATAGGCAGACAAATTTGAGGCATCGGTCTACATGTAGGCGCTAAAAAAATCATTCTCAACTTAAGAAGGAATAATGAT